CTGGCTCCGCGGGGCAATGCCACTGGCCCACCCCCGCGGGCTGCTTCCAAGGGCAGAGGCCCCTCTGGTCAGTCTAAAACCTGCAAAAGGCTGCTTTTTCACTGTAAACAGCTCTCTCCCCACACCCCTCACACCACCCCTGTCCATGCAGCGTTGAGACTGTGGTCCTGGGGGGTCTGGCTCAGGGGCGACGGAGTTGGCTAATTTAACTGGGGTTTAGCACGTCTCTGTGCACGTCACGGTCACATTCGTCTCTCTGTAGTTAAGTTGTGGTCTGTCCTCACACTGCAGTGATGGCGGCCAGGAAGTCCCTCCCACCGCCAGGCTGACTCACCTGGCCAGGTGAACAGGAGCAGGGTCCAGGAATCACATTCTCAGGCCGTCCTAGTGTGCAGATGGGGGGGAAGTCTGAGATATATAGAGCCAGGAAAAGCTAACCTGGGGGACATTCTACCAGTTCTCAAAACGGTAACACTTGAAGCAGAACACTCATTTCTGCATCGTGCCTTATCCAAAATGGAGTTTCTCACCACCAGAAACAAGCCGCTAACGGCACATGCAGCACGAGTGCACCACGCTATGTTTATCTTTCTATGGAATAGGAGACACACAGCAATGTTTGTAAGAGTGTCTGTGTTTATGGGGCAGGATTGTAATGGTTCTGGGAACAGTATATGTGTGTGAATTCACATGTTCTCTGCATCTCAAAAAATTTGATCACATCTTTTTTAAAAATTATGATTTCTTTTATCTCTTTATTTATTTATTATTTTAATTTGCTATAGGGCATATTTTAATTTGCTATAGTGCTTACCAGAGAGAGACAGAGACAGCAAGAAGGTGAGAAAGCAAACTTCTGGGTCTGGGATTCGAACTGTGGTGACCACGTGGGAGTTGAGGGGCTTAACAACCATGCCACCTACTGGGGCCTCAAATTGCATAATTTTTTTGTAAGAGAGTTTTGCTAATGGGTGCATGAGCTGACTAGAGAGACAGAGAGAGAGAAAGGAAGAAATCACCCCTCAGGGGGATGGCCACGTCGCAATTCCTTCTTCTCCATCCTCTCGAGAATTTGGGCACACACGCACACACACCAGGTGTGAGTTTCAAGCCGCTAGATCTGGGACTGGAACCACACTCAGCCCTGTGGGAGTTCAGTGCTGTAACCACTGTGCCACCTGCTGGCTCCACAACCAGATAATCTTATGTATGGAAAAAGGAAAGTGACCTGCAGAACACAGGAGGCTGCAGAGCGGCAGCTGGTCGGCTAGTTTGGCTTTTGCCAGTTTTTGTTCTCACTTCGACTGTTGCTCACGACAGCGCGTGCACATGTGAGTGTGATAAAGGAAGTGGCTCCCGCCAGGGTCTGGTCACGGTGCCAGCTCCCCTCAGTCCTCCCGCCCATGGGGTCTCGGCCACTCGGGCGTGTGCCTCGCATGCGTCAGGCAGCCTGGGCCGGGACACGGACCACAGTCGCCATATGGGCCCGGCTCCTCTTGGCTGTACTCGGCCATTGTTACTCCCTCTGAAGCTGGGTTCTCAGGGGGTTCGCAGCCCAAGGCAGGTTGCAGATCGTAAGTAAGAACCTGAGCATGCGGGCGGCGTCTGGTTTGGTTCAACGCCCGCTGCACGCCGAGGCTGCATGGACTGCAGTGCGGGTTTGTACGCCGAGAGGCTGCGATGAGCACGGGGTTAAAGCAAGCACGAGAGGATGCAGTCAAGGGTCATGGTGGACCCAGGATGTTTGAGGCCACTGCCACCTCAGCGGGCGTGCCGCGTGACGTCAGACTTCTCAGTCATAAGCAGAGGAAAGCCACCGAGAGAGCTGTGAGAAGCAGAGTTAGTAGAGGTCACATAGTAAGGACCCACCCGCAGCCTGGTGGCTAAGGGAGCTGCTCTCACATGGCTCAGCTGAGTTCGAATCCTGCCCGGTGACTTGAACGCGCCAGGCACACGTGTGTGGGTGCCCAGAATCCCAGCAGGATGGAGAAAGGGCGTGAACAGGCCCCACTGGGGAGAGAGCTCCCCCGCTCCCTGTCTCTGTCTCTCCTGGTGGGGACACTGCCCATGTGCAGAGTAAACGCGCAGACTAGCACCCCGCTATTCGCTGTCATGGCCACAAGCGGGGGACCGCACAGAAACGCGGGTGAGCTTTCCTGGGACTGGCAGCCAGCAAGTTCCTCCACTCAGACCCACCAGGGCCTTGCCTTGCTCCACCCACAGCTCACAAAGGGCCCTGAGCCTCTTCAGGGGCCTCGCCTTGGCCCTTCCAGCCTGGCGAGCTCATTCACTGACACTGATGCTTCAAGAATTCCAAGAGCACTTACATCTCTGGACCATCCTGCGCCAAATCCTGCCTCTACTGTACCGACAAGCACTTCCATCTCTGGAACCATCTTGCGTCAAATCCTGCCTCTACTGTACCGACGGGCCTGAGCCTGGAGCCCGGGAACACCGCAGGCGCG